CTTACGTAACTTTACTTCAATATCTGACTTTGAAGGGATACTATGCAACTTTCTGTTACAACTCCTGCATGATTCAAATAGAACATTACAGCTATTATACAGATCAGTTTTTTGGCATAGATTATTAGAGTCAAAGGGATAATGTTACCATGAAAAGGACACGGAAAATACAGTTCAAGCCCACTTCATAATGAGGATGGATGTTGTTTTGAAAAGTTACTTGCCTTAACAACCATTGTGCCTACATTTTTAGCTGTCTTATGTTTTTCATCTAACTTGTCAATTAGTGAAACATATAGCCTGTATACTGTAATTTACGACCATGAGCCATTCAAGCTTTGACATTGTTTTGCCCCCAGTTAATTTATATAAGAACTACAGTAATGTATCAGCAAAGTTCAACATATCTGACCATTTTAGAAGGGAGATGACTGTATAGTGAATAGAGCAGTTATAAAAAGCTGTCCTCATGAGGTAAAAATGCATGGTATTATAAAGTTCAGTGTGGTCTTTAGGCCCAAATTAGCTCGACTTAACATACAGAGCGGGCCTGCATGAGGCACAGTATGTCTGCTGTCACTCGACATGTGTCAGTATTGTGTTGTCAGTGACCTCACTGGCTCTGGAAGTGTGGGAACAGCTAAAAACAGAAGTGTTTTAGAAAATACTCAAATGTCATTCTGTAGCCGCACGCATCTCCACATCAACATGGCTGCAAAATCACAACGAGTCACACTATTTATATTTTTGATCGTGTGCATGTAAACACAAAAATGTATAATTAAAAATATGAAAAAAATGTGGTGGTTGTTACCGTTTTTTTGTACAGTAGATATCATCAAGCAGTTTTTATTCTCTTGATTTGGACCCCCGCCTATTACATTTTCCACACTAAAAAGCCCTATAAACCTGTCAACATTTAACGCTTTGGGCTGAAAGCTAATTGACTCTCCCTTACTTTTATGTCTTTTTGTGAAAACTAAAGATAGGACCAAACAGTTTTGAGAGCGAGAAACTAGTAAGATGGATTTTCTTACGTAGACAGCATTAGATAATGCAGCTGATAATGAAGGTAAGTACCTATGACGGAAACATTGTTAAAATCTAAAACATATAATACATTTCTTTTTCACTCAGAACACGCTAATTAACAGTATCTGCGTGTCTCCTATTATTGTCTGTTTTGTGTCAGGGACCAGGTCCACAAATTAGTTTGGCTAGACAGCCTATGGACATGGCATGTGCTACTTCAAATGTGGTTCATGTGTTTGGATGGACCCTTGTGCTATCTTCGGGTCAAACTGATCCGCCACAGTAATGACTTTTCCTAACTGAACCATCCCTGGCCTGGGTCGAATGTAAAATAAAAATACCCAAAGTTAGGGTTTAACAACCTCTTCCTCCTCTCTGTGCTCTGTACTGCCCTCTACCTCTGTACAGGTGGAGCTGTGGGCGGACCTTGGAGCGTGGTGCGTCAGGGCCCGACGCGCTGCCGTCCTCCTGTGGACTCACCACCTGCAGAGGGTCAGTGAGGGGCTGGTGCTATGAGACTTGGGTGGCATCTCTTATTGCCACCCCCCTGACCCAGAAATGGATTAAAGGGTAGAAAATGCATGGATGGAATCACAGTGAGTGGTAGCACGAGGACGCTCTGAGCCATCGTTTTCTGTGGACGACGGTGGCCTGTGTGGTCCAAAATGAACGGTCAAAACATGCAGAGAAAAGAGTTCAGAAATTATCAAGAGTCAGGTGGTTGCTATGCACAAAATAAGACTGCAATTATGAACAAAATGTCAGCTTTCATAACTGCTATTGAGGAGTCAGCGGAGAACAGTGTGAGCTTGTAATGATATAGAACTATTGAATTTCAAACTAGAGCCCTGAGTCTTTTCTAATACTTTTTTTTATTGCTTATTAGTTTCACACGCAATAAAATTAAAATCATGATGAGATTGATTTAAATTTATGTGATTCAAAAATCACAGAAATCTGATGATATTCCAAAGAAGAGCCAAAAATTACATTAGCATTAAAGCTACAGTATGTAACATTTTAGTTAATAATGATACTAAAATAAAAGCGCTCAATTAACAACGTATAAAACATTAAACATTTTAAATCTCCTTTTTAAGACTTTTAAGACCAAAACTTGTATGCTGTTGTTTTAATATGAAATGATTGTATCTTATTTACTTTTTGTTTTTTATTCATTTGATCTGTGTTTTTTAGTTGCTCTTGTGAAGCACTTTGAATAGCCTCGTACACTCTTCTTTGGTATTCTCGGCATGCAGCCTTCTTGCTGACCACTCATGAGCGGATGGCGGGGCAGAGGTGGGTCACGGACGATGACAGACAATGACAAATGACGTGTGATGTACAAAGTGTCCACAGAACAACACGTCGCTCTTTATGGAGGCAGGTTTCAAGCATTGTTATTAGTTTGAACTCGGGCTTTTTCCATTACAAAAAAAATATTGTTTATGTTCCAACAGAGTCTTGTAAAAGTAAAATAATGCAAACAAATCAGACCACAACATGCTGTCGTACTGGTGAGTCACTATTTGACACTTTGGGAGGGGGATGGTCGGTCTGATCTCAACCCTTGAACCCTTGAAGAAAGCAATGTAATGTTTTATTTTTGGGATTTTCTAAAATGTAGGAGTACTAATCACAGATAATTTGTTTTAACCCATATATTTTCTTTCACTATAGGCCTTTACCAAATGATTGAGATGCAGTTTGATGGGAAAAGTGCTTAAAACCAAGTGAGATGCCCCAAAGAAGTACATTTCAGTTCCAAGCTTAAAGCAGATATATTGACTCTAAAAATGTTTGAGGAAACCACTAAAGGCTTATGATGTGATAAATTATCATGGTGAGGAATTTTCTTATTTGGTACTTTTATTTTTGATATTAGTTCTGTTTTACTTCCTGTCTTGATCCCAAGTTTGACTGACCCTAATATTTTTCAGCTGTGTCTCTCTATGTCTCTATATACCTATGTACCTGTGCTAATCCCCATTGTTGCTGGTCCACTGTCACTGTCTTCACCTTTATGATAATTGTATGTATGTATTTAAAGCACTTTGGGTGACCTTGGTCTGTAAAATGCGCTATACAATTAAACATTACTTACTTAATGTAAGTAAGTAAGTAAGTAATCTTTATTTATATACCGCCTTTTCACTGCAGATTTGAGTCTCAAAGCGGTTTACAATTGTTAATTTTTGGGCATTTGTCTCTCACTCCACACAGAGATGGGAGCGGAGTCGCCAGTACAGGAGGCGCATGCTAGAACTATTGGACATATTTTTAGTGGTAGGGGAAACCGGAGTACCCGGAGGAAACCTACGCAGACACGGGGAGAACATGCAACTCCACTCAGAAAGGCCCTGGTCCGACCGGGATTCGAACCCAGGACCTTCTTGCTGAGAGGCGAGAGTGCTATCCACTCAGCCACCGTGCCGCCCATGTTTTGCCCTAGTTCCTGTGTGAAGTTTTTGTTTATTTTTTGAATTTTATTTTCAACTTGGACATACTCATAGACAGATTCCTGCATTTAAAAAAATAATTTCTTAGTAGTTATCCCTAGCTTGGGAAAATCAAAATGGCAGTCAAAATTATCAAATGTAAAAAAGAAAAATACACAACCATAAGACAACTTGAATTATATTATAGATATGCTTTTATTAGAAATAAGACACATTCATTTTGTGCTCTGAAAACTGTACATTAACAAAGAGTTGACCCTGGGGGAAATAAAAAGAGGTGGTGGGTAACTGCTGGGGTCATGAGAGGTACATTGTTTTGTTTTGTTTTACTTTTTTAGACAAATACATTTTTGGACGGGGAGCGGATCGAAGGTGATATCAAAACACACACTGTTTACATTGCGATACGTAACACCCCGGATGTGGGACAATCGGGCAGGAGGGGGGGGCTGTGATGGCGGGGTCCGTACCATAATAAACATGGATTGTATTTATAATAATGACGACAGCTATCCCCAAGCACAGTAAGAAAGATATTTATAGGCTAAAATCCATTCTGTAGAACTCTGTGGAATTAATTACATTGCTGTACATCAGGACTCTATATGAGCCTTGTGCTTTCTCCGTTCTACCTCTTGCATTACCACTGTCCCATATATATATTTATAGATCTAAACTCACTTATTCGTATGCACTTTCAATTCACACACGCATCCAAACGGTCCCTTTGAATCCTCCATGTCTATTTCCAAGCCTATACTCCCACACGGGCAATCTTGGCTCTCTTAAGACGCACTTACTGCCTCAAGTCCAGTGGTCAGTGAGTAGCCCATTTGAGGTTATTTTTTCACAGGTTTTAGCATCTGTTTTGCAGTTGGGGGCTTTATCTCCAGCGTCTCTCTCTCCAACCGGTGTGGAGAATCCAACCTGCTAACGTTGGCTCCATTTTTTGCGAGCAGAGCAGTCGCAAAATTTGTCCCGAAAAAGGAGCAGAGATATCCTTGACGATAGCCCGCCAGCGCTTGTTTGTATTGTCAGTACACAGCAGAGCGTTCAGGAATAATTTGTTGAAAAAGAGAAGAGAAACACAGCGCGACCTTGCAAAAAAAAGGGTTGGATAAGTTATAATTGTTTAATAAAGGGCAACAGTCGCTCATGGTAGGGCATAAACATATAAACATCATTGGTAGAGCGGTCGGGTCCACAGTTTGGCAGGTTGTGAGTCCAGCTTCCACGGAGGCTGTCATGTTCTTAAACAGGTGATAGGTTCATTGATGGAAAACGCTTTGAGTCCGTGAAGGCGTAAAAGCACGATTATAAGCGTGAGACCATTTCACCACAAAGGCGTAAACTGCGTGGATGTCATACTCATGGAAAAGGCAAAAAGTCGGCGCTGCGTTCACATTCTCAACTTTCAATCTTCAACCCTCCCAGCGCACTGTCTTTTGTCGCCGACTGAGTTTTGGCGGATTCTTGTACTTTTTTTTTTTTTTCCCAGAGAAGAGGCGGCTACACCTCAGTTTGCAGGTCCATGAGCTCCTGTCCCACAAGGGGGATGGTGGCGCTGTTCTTCTCCCACTCCACGGCCTGGAGCTCCAAGGGGGACGCGGCCACCGTCTCCAGGTCCTTACGCACCCAAGATGGCGGAGAGTGGGGCTTCCTGATACCCTCCCAGCCCCTCTTACTGGGGGTCTGTTGCTTTTCCTACGCACATACACATACAAAACAAGTTAGAACCGTTTCAAGTTTGTGATATTCACTTTAAGAAAGAATTTGATTGTATAATATTGTATTGTCGGCTATAATGATCAGGAAGTAACTTTTCAAATCTCTGAAAATTACGCATTGCAGTTTCCATCATGTCTAACAGTACATAATATAAATGATATGGAAATGGTTTACAATCAAGCCATTTTAACAGCTGGATATTGTCTGAACATTTCTCCTGACCAAAGGGAGCATGCAAAACTGACACCACTCCTGATTAACCTTTTTTTTTTTCATAGTTACTCAATGATGTGTTTTTCTGCTATAAAAAAAAGCTCACAGCTTAGGCCAGAAATAACCTAATGAGACCTGTCAACTGTTTTTTTTTTTTATGTCTGGTTAAGAAAAAAATTCCAGCTGTTCAGACCAATTCTACACAGTTTGACTTTCAAATGAGCTGAAACTTCGGGATTACAAAACTGTGTCCACACAAATTACATACAGCTACAACATGGACTAATAATGACTTGTTATCGTAGACTGCAGATGCAACCTGTCAGATCTGTCTCATTTTCGGCACTTTCTGAGCTCACTTCTATCTAAATGGCTGATCTATACTCTCGTCTATATCCAAAGGCTAAGCCAATGTGAGCCTTGTGCTCAAGTGCCCTGTGGGATGAATGAAGCTCAGGAGCGAGATGGATTATGTCTGAAGAAATCAACTGGTGCCATGGAAATGAGGCAGCTACAGGCCAACATGGAGCCAGCGCTGAGCAGGCCGGTATAAGCTGTAAAGTGGGCACACCAAACGTGCAAAGGACCTTCAATCATCCTGAGATCGATAATTATATAAATGTTCTTATTTGACAATATTATAATCTTAAAGTATTTTATTCAAATGATAGAAGTGCTGAAACGTTTGAACACATAAGGTAAATGTGCTGTACCTGATTTTAAAGTCTGCAATTAAGCTAACCTGGACCCAGGACATCACATGCATCTGCTGACTGGTAAATTAATGTATACATATTGAGCTGAATAAGCTAAGAACTAGCATGCCCACAGTGCACACCATATTTTCTCCTCATTACCTTTTGATCGCTATGAGATAAAACAAATATAGGCCTTGGCTGTAGTGTGAATTGGGTTCAAGTAAGTTGGAGCCAAACGCTATGGCGGGGCACTTTATTCAGTCCTTTGCTAATGTTGTCTATGGGCAAAAATAGCTAATATAATTTTATAGGAACTGGGCTAGGAACAACCTCTTTCAAATTGTGGAAAAATCTTTATTGGACTAAATAGTTTAAATTGTGATGGTTTCCATACTTTTTAACATGGCTATGTAGTATAAATATATAGAGGTGTAAATGCCAAAGTCAAATCAAAATCAGGGACAGAATCTGCTATAACTTGAACATTGACGTATAACAGGAGAGGAGGGTGGGGCAGTTATTTACACTCATGTTGGTCTTGTCACTGCCGGTTGAGGACACGCTCCATCTTTTAGCCGCTTTTCCTTCGGGAGGAGAGTCTCTATCAGTGTACGTCCGCCTGCTCAGCTCCTGAAACATGTCCTGGTGCCGCTTCCTCGTGTGCATTATTTTCTACAGGGACAGCGCACAGAACACCACGGGGTTTACTCAGAAAGCTACGGCCATATCAAGTCTGTTTTGGTCTAGAATGGGTAAAAAAAAAAAAAAAACACTAGATTTACCTCAAAGTCAAGCTCTGCATAGCGTGATTTTCGTCTCTGGGGGAAAATGAGAGACAGATTAAAGGTGAGGTTGAGGTTTTGTTTAGTAGTGTTTTAGAGGGATAGTGCTGGGACAGAACTCAACAGAGATTTGTTAACAGATAAAATAAAGACAAGACTGGTGTTAATCAGTTTGGATTGAGATATTGGAGGATATTTTAAGTTGTCAATTATCAGGTGATGATAAACAGCTCAGGCTATATTTTAGAGTTAATAATATTTTTTAAAGCTGTGATTTTGTGTGATTTTCTAAAGTAGTGACAGAACCAGTATTGACACCTTATGGCTTTTATTACAAGGTTATTTGTTTGTGGTCTTAAAGTAAGGTAAACCAAGTCTTCAATTCTCAGGATGTTTTTCAGTGCAAAACAGCTAATTTTATTTTAAAAGCTGAGAATTTGTTCTTTTTTTATGGGTTTACATTGTTTTCAAATGCAGATCGGGAAATAGTGCTTTTAAATGAGGAACATTAGCGGACACATTTTGACATTATGTGATTACTGGATTTTCTGTAGTAGTAATTGTCTTTGGCTAGACTTAATTTTTGTTCTAATTAATTTAAGAATTGTTGATAAAAAAATCCTCTAATAGAGTCACCACGCATATTGACGGATACATTTATCCACCTAGTGTTTTTTGTTATGCGTATAAACTAGGGATGTACTGATTCACTTAAGCCCAACTCATTTGTTAATTGATTTTGAGTTCTTGATTTAGATTTGATTTCTTTACCGTTTTTATTTACAAAAAAAACATTACACATTTTTATAACCAAAATGTTTTCCTTGTTTTTAACCATCTGCATTTTTGTCTTTGTAAGTACATGTCTCAGTAAACACATGACATTACAAACTAAAATAACATTAGAATGCTTGGTTAACGTCCACTGCGACCCCAGAAACCTGACCTCATTCAGACATATCTTTGAGACTGTTTTGACTCGTTTGTGCACGTCTGTATTGAAAACATGATGGCGACATGTTTCGGCCTAAGTTTGCAGCTAACAGCTTGTGAACGTGCCCTTTAAGCTCTCGTCACGGCAGCGGAGGACGCTCTGACCAGCGGCGACTCGCGGATGTGGCAGCTGCCGGATCACATGGCGTTACCGTGGCGACGCCGGCGGGCACACATCCGGTTCACTTTAACATCTCCTCATCACAGACCAACCTTGACAAGAGGACTTTAAACTGGATTAAGACACCTTTTACACATTGAAAACTTTAGATCTGGTTAGAAGATTTTTTTTTTAATTATTATCAAGGACTCAATTCTGTTTGTGTAGGATATGAATTTAGCAGGTTGGATTACTAATGTTTTTTTTTTTTGATAAATCTATTTTTGTCCTAACTAGTTCAACAGAAAAACTGTAGTGCTAGAATTTGTTTTGATACTGTTGGGTTTTATTGTTTTTGGTCTCATGTGTAGGTAAACAAGCTTTAAACACAGTTAAGATCATGGTAAATTGCAAATATATTAATTCTATTGCACATAAGGCTTATTCATTGCGGATCCCTGTGGATTTCTGAAATAATGTATTCTTTATATAATGTCTTTGCTAGAAATGTATGATTTTATTAGTCAACTGTCTTGATGGCTAATATAAAGGTTACGGCCTAGTTTAATATTGTGTAGTTTAGTAATATAACCGGCTGCACACTACACATTGACAAAAATAATCTTGCAGGACATTATACGTTCATAATCCGCATTGAAAAACTACAATTTAAATTAAATGTTGCTTTTAAAGGCCACAAAAGTGAAGTATATTAACCAGTGTAAGTGTTAGGAGTGTAAGGAGCTTTTACATTAAGCTATTATCACTCAGAATATTCAGACCACGCCTCCCAAAACTCGTGGAGAAACAAAAAATGGCAAAAAATTAGGCAGTGGGGATTGGTTCAAACATGTTGAAGAATCGCACTGCTTAGGGGCTTTCTTTTTAACAATACTCTAGGTAAAAGAGAAGTGATTTTCAGATTTATTTTACGCAGATTTACGTGATGGATTAATAGTTCCCTTCCTGTTTGGTTGTCTAAGTTAGAAACACAGCACTCTCTCAAAGTGCTACTCCATGTTTAGTGGATGGATGGCTGTATGTCTGTGTGAACAAAACAAAAGATGATGAAACATGAACATTGAGCATCCGTCACATTGATATATGAGGATAAAGAAAAAACACAAGTTTGACTGATTCAAAATAAATAGAAGATGCTGCGGTCATGATAGATACCACACTGGCATACATTGACAAACACAACTGAATGCTGTTATGTGATTGGTTAGTTAGTAAAGTTAAGTCTACATTATCACCTGTGTGGCTGTCAAAGGAGATACAGTATACGAAATGAACTAAAAATTGTATAAGCATTGACAAAAATGTACTAACATTTGGTAGAATCTTTCATGTTAACTATCCACGGTCATTCATCTGCACATTTTGCTCTTTATGATAATGATGGCTATTTACTTTGACATTCCATGGAAATCATTCATTGTCTAGAACATATATGGATAAAAATATGTGTAATGGATAAAACCCTTCTACCATCAGAGGGAGGGCTGGCAGAAAACTGCACTGACCATGACATAATAGGGTAGGGATTCATCATATTTTACCAGGTTTGAGATTATTTAGACTGAAAGTAAAATGAAGTGAAAATTGCAGCATATAGTGACTACAATAAGATAGGGTTAGGGATAGTTAGTTCCCCAATAAAGTATAGTACATCTCCTTTAAAAGTGCACAGTGGAACTCATCTGAGCTTGAGAATGTATGCGTGTGGTACCTTTGAACATGGACATTGGACTTTCACAACATGCATATCGCACACGTGGTGAGTGTGACGACTTCAGAAACCTGCTCGGCCGCTCTCACCTCCAGCGAGCTCATGGACAGCGTGGACACGGTTTCACCCTTGTTCATGACGTTCCCGGGATCCCCTCCTCCGTTCACCGTGGAACCAGGCTGCAGATTATGGGCCGGCGAGTCCCTCTCCGAACACGACACGCTGACCTGGTCCGCGGGCAGCGTCTTTAGGCTGAACCCTGGTTCTCCGGTGACGGGGTTGGCCAAGTGGATGAGCCTGGTCTGGGGCAGCTGTTCCATGTTGATGTTGTACTTGTCGTCTTTGTTTTTGGACGACTTGAGCGTGCCTGTGTTGTTACCGGGCATCATGACGTAACTTTTACCGTCACCGCCGCCGCTGCTGCCCTCTCCGTTCCCGCGCGGCATTTCTCCGTCGAGCTGCTTGAAGAGTTCTCCGTCACAAATGTAGATGGACTTAGCCCCCGGGAGCTCGGTGCTGATTCCCTTGGCCGTGGCCTTTTCTCGCCTCATGGTGAGTGTGTGGCTGGTGTAGTCGGCCACGTTCTGCAGGTGCACTTTGGCCATGCTGGCGGGCATCGTGTTGAAGTTGGACCCCTTCTGCAGCGTCAGGGTGCCAGCGGACGCTTTGTCCTCGCCCTGAAGAGACGTACGCTTCACACCTAGAGGGAGGAAGAAGAAGAAGAAGAGGGATGGAGGGTGAGAGGTGTCTGAGGATCAGCCGAAAGACAAAGACAGGGCAACTTCATTTGAATCTTTTACTCTCTGTGCGTCAAGTCTGTTACAGCTAATAATAATAATAATAATAAGGCATTTCATTTATAACATACTTTTCACTATGCAGAATCTCAGAGTGCCACAGGAAGTGAAAAAAGATGCCGTTATAAAATGAGGAAAAAAGGGTTTTATTATTTGCTCCCAGATAGACTTTAATGTAATAAAAATACAATTCTTGAGCAAAGACTTTTAAATTCACTCTAGGCAATTGCTACAGGGTGAACAGATTATTAAACAGTTGCAGAGGTCAAATCTACGCTGGAACATCAGCCCAATAATAACGACTAAAACAAATTCTGAAATAAAAATATCTTTGTATTTGTTTGAACAATTTTTCTATGGTGCGAGAAACAATGAAGATTGTGCTTATGTGAAAGCACAAAGAAGATGCAGGTATTATAACGTAGTGTCTAAAAAAACACTGTGTTTATGCTGCGCAGTTTTGCGGACCAACAAGCAGATGCATCTGCAAAAAAATGTATATGTATGTGTGTCTTTTCCCCTTTCCAACTGGTTATTGCTAAAGACCTTAACATATTCTTATTCTTCAAGAATATTTCTATATTCTTGAACTGCTACAACCGACCTCTATCTTTCACATCCATCCGCCACCATCACAGCGATTCAATGAGCCCTTTTTGACCGGACCCACACAAAGTCAGCACTTCTTGTCTCCAAATCCGTCTTGATCTTTTGACCTAGAAGTCACACTGACATAACAGCTTGTGGTGTATGACAAAACACACGCTCCGTATCAGATTCAAACTCCTAAACTCAAGACAACACAAGGTGAGATGAATATTTTACATACATTTAGTCAAACATAAAGCTGTACAGACAAGAGTGGGTTGAAAAGATGAATTCTACTTCATTGTGATGGCTCCAGGTAACCCAGGAAGTCCATAATCCATGACATTTTTTATAAAAAACTAGGACTTAACCAGGTCGGAAAGTGCCTTTAAATGGAACAATGCAAAACTATTCAGGAGAATGTATGTAATCTTTCTTCATTCATGTAAAGACTGACACACAAAGCATTTTACAATTCACTCCACTCAGTGATGGAAGCAGGGTCGCCATACTCAAACACAGGCAGAACAGGCAAACGTCACACAGAAAGGTTCGTCCGGAGGTGGAATAGAACCCAGCACCTTCTGTACAACTGCATACATGAACAACTTGGTAGAATCCAGCACACCAGTAGAACCCTATCATTCTAAATCCAACATAATCTCAAAGTAGCATCAGAACCCTCGCCACACATTTCAAAGACAGCAGCCTTTTCCCTGTCAGATATAAAACAAATCGATGATGGTTGTTTTTTGTAATATTTTCCGAGGGAGCAGTGTCTCAATAGAGTTCCAGATGTGCTCTTTGATTTCCTGTCTCCGGAGATAATCGGATCTGGGTCCCGGCGGATATCAGCACAGAGCTATTATCAGATGTACAACTGCCAGGAGCCGCTTCATTATCCCCACAACACACCATCTCGAAGCATAGCAAGTCCGCTCGGCTTACAACAGGATATAAACACCGCTGCAATTGTCAGCAACAATTAACTACAAGTATGAAAAGCTGTTGTGTTGGTCGTTTTTTGTCCAGTGTGCAGGTATGACTGGAGGCAGCAATACACATATACTGTACATCCACACATCATCTGTCTGATTTGTATTGTTATATAATAAACCCGCCTGCTTAGACTCTTACTAACTGATTTGTCTGCCCTGTTAAAAGAACATTATAATCAACATGATCATAAGACGTATCGCTTAACTGTGTGGATAGTAACTAATACAACATAGAATTGCAACAACTGTGCAGAAATTGTGTGAAAGAAAGAAAGGAGACAAAAGTACCTGATCTGCAAGCCATGTCCACGTCTTTCTCAAAGTCAGTCTGTAAAAGAGGACATATTTTTAGCAGTGAAATTCTGTGCAAGCTTGTGAAATAAAGCTGGAGTACCTAACATTTGTGTTTGATTCATACATATATTTTCTTTCTAGGGATGTCACCATTATCGGTGTAGCGCTAAATCCCGGTAAAAGAAAAAGACTACAACATTTACCAACATATTGAAGAAAAAAAAAAACATTATCTGGGTGGATTACTGACGCTTCCTGAGGTCTGCTGAAGTTGCTGCGCGGGTTCTCTTAGTTTTTTCTTTTGGTGGATGTTATGTTTTTTTTTAACAATTTCAGTGTGTGTAGGACTATGAATGCTTTCTGAACATATTCAATGAACGTAAAAAAACCCCTGCAATAATACTGAAAATTGTGATAATTTTAGTCACAATAACTGTGGCACCCCTATTTCTGTTTAAAGTAGGGGGCTTTCCCTTTCACTGACAAATTTGATCTAAACATGTGACAGAGGCCGGAAATACATCGGCCACATGTAAAAACTAGTGATGAACCAAACTGTTTCAAGAGATAGGAACTAGTTGCTTTTGTGGTTTCAAAGTTAATGCAAGTTTGGAATAATCCATTAAACATTCATTCCTGTATGTATTTCAAATAGTTAAATGTTTTGTTGCAAACTCCCACTTGGTAAATATTCTTAACTTGACACTTTCATTTGTAGATGTACAGTAGCATAAATCGTAGCACTCTACCATGAGCTGAGCGTGGCCATTTTGGAAGGATCCCCCAGAGTCTCCGTTGGCGTCTTCCTGACGATCCACTACGCGGCACTTGACCGCCTCCTGGACCTGCAATAATACATGTAGTGAAGTAGTAGCTTCAGAAGATTTAGAAGTGGTTTTGAGAATACTAAATATTGTTTCTGCAGAAGAAGTAACCCTGCTTCTCCATACAGTTAAAATGAGTCAAAAAGTTAAAGTTAAAATTGAGGCAAAAAGAGTTTCTGCATTGGATAAGATACTGATGAAGACATGTGAGCCTGATTTTAACCTGAGGTCCATAATTCATTTTGCCAGAATACAAACACAGGTGCATCTGCTACAGTACAAAGGTGAGCGCTAATGAATGCACTCTAACCTTGTTCCAAGCAGAGTAAATATGTCGTAAGAAGCAGGATTTGATTACTAAGGTTTTGTTTTTGCTCTGCTTCTGCAAGTTTAATTCTGTTGTATAATACCTCAAAAAGCTTGCATCTATGATTATTTCTAAATTTGGGGAGTGCTTTTTATTTATTTGTATTTTATCTAGTTAGCATAAGATAACAGAAAGCTACATGCTGTCTTAAAGGAACAAAAGAGGCCGCAACATTCTTCTAATGAGGAATCTTTTGTATTACTGCAGATGGATTTTTAATAAATTGTGTGTTTTGAAATCTTATTGTGTTTAGTAATTAGTTGATTAGATATTTAGTTATTAATCAATGGAGTTTCAATATTTTTTGGATTCCAGAATAGTCCTCACGTCCCCCTTTTCCCTGATTGGTTTACTGTGCATTTACATGTTTTTATTTATTTATTATATTTGTTTATTTGACAGGGATCAATCAATCAACTTTTATTTGTATAGAGCCTTTCCTACACAAGGCAACACAGAAGCGCCTCACAACCCTCATCATATCAAGCAAATTATAAACATTAAAATCTACATATACATAAAAAACAAAAGAAAGATTAAAAACAGAGTATATAATTAAAAACACACTGGATTAAAATAATAAACAGCCACAATGCATTAAAAAGGGTAAATATAAAATCCTTCAGTTGTAGAGATAAAATATAATGTAATTGTAAATCCAAAAACTGACCAATGAGCCTTCTGTCACCCAAAAACGCTTTAGCTAGAGAGTAGCACAAGCAAGCGGGTTGAGACCAGCACCACTCCTGATTGTTGGTTCCTAACTCGGTTGTTGCTATGAACAATACTTGCTTCATTTGGCGCCACATTGCAGCTCAATTAGCCTGTTCAAGCTAGCTCTAATTAGCTTCAGCTGCATTTAAGCAAACATTATGGGAAACGTCAGCACTCGGTGAGTTCACTCCTTCTCTCAGCCTATCGTCACGCACCAATGTTCTTGACTGAATAACCCTTGAGCACAAAATAAGCGACAAATTATGGAATATTCGGAGATTATTCTGGCTTTATTAGTGTGACCTACATCATAACCTGCTGTGTTACACTCGGTGGTCTGCGTTCTATATACGTACCTCTCGCCGCAGTATACAGTGCACCATCACGATGACAAATCCTTCCAGCGAATCAAAAACGGCAAAGAGGATCTGGAAGAGGGCGGAGCGGCGGTCGGTGATGGCCAACACCGCCGACATCCAGGTGAGTGCCAGGAGGGGTAACACCACGCATGAGCTCCACAGCGACGCCCTGCAGGACACCGGAGGAACAGCAGTCAGTCCACAGAATTCAACACATTTCTATAGACGTCTTCAAAACGTAACATTAGCTTGATAAGAATAAGCTTATTAACTTGATCAAATCTTAGCAACTTCTTCCATTGTATCATATTAGTCGTAGCGTAGTGTTGTTTAGCATGCAAAAAAATTTATCACAACAAATTTATGCTACTACACAAACGGGAACATACATCCACTTGGTCAAATATATATGCTCATAGCTGACATATATTCCATGCATGTATGTTAAAAGATGGTTCATTTGGGACCAAAGAGGGGGAAGAGGGGGGTCCGGTGGAATGAGGCTGGAAAATTATGCACAGGACAACGGGAAAGAGCCAAAGAAGGAAGGACAGAGCGGAGACAACCTCAACTACGGATAACACCATGGCCCAAAATAAATCCTGTTAAGATTTATGGGTCAGAATTAATCAAAATTAGATATAATAGGTGCGTGAGTTTTTAAAATATTGTTTTTAAAGGTGCTAGTTTGGTCATAGAAAGTAATTTTAATTCATGTATTGCATTTGTAGGTATGCTAGCTTTCCTGTTTTCCTGGAATATTCCAGAGTAATGCATTAAAACAATTATGACAGTTTAGACTAAACTCTCACTAAGAAAGTATTTGCGATTTGTGTAAAAATAGTATAGACTATTTTTTGAAAAATATGTTTCTATGTAACTAGATATAAACAGCAGATGTGAAATACTGTCATCAATATTTGTACTTTTCCACCAAAAAAACGAATACATTTCTCCATGGAGAAATAAGTCGTTTAAGCAACACTTTGGAACAATCCAGACAAAACAAATCACCATGGCGACATGTAGGTGTTCTGTCCACCAGAAAAGTGCAAAGTCAAAATCATTTAACACATTGCTTTTAATTGCATGATAGTAATTTCCATCCATCCATTTTCTTCCCCTTAATTCATTTCTGTGTCGGGGGGGCGGCAGTCAGAGCTGCACCCAGTCACAGAGCACCAGCCCCTCACTGATCCTCCTGCAGGTGGTGAGTCCACAGGAGCCTTGATCTTTCAGCAGGGGCTTCAGGCAAAGTAGGGTTAAGTGTCTTGCCCAAGGACACAACGACAGCAGACATCAGTGGGAGTCGTGAAGGAGGTCTCATGGTGGGCTCGAACCCACAACCTTCAGGCGCAAAGACCAATGCTCTACCAACTGAGCCGCTGTCGCCGATAGTCATTTTATGTAAACTGAACACGACAGATTCAATACAAAGAATAAACTTTTGCTGCATTCACACTATTTCCTTTTAATTAAATTATTATTCCGGGTTATTTCACCAGGAATGTGATAAAATGTGCTCTGATTTGGTAAATCACCAAACTATTATATGTTATTTCTTTATTATCAACATCAACTCAAGGGTCAAGGCAAATATTTGAATCAGAGGTTAAACTATCTTACATACTTTATATTAAACAGGTCTCACTTTATTGACCCTGTCTTCATGGGTTTGAGCTGACGCAGAGACTTGAGTCATACTGTCGTGTTCAGTTTTATTTATGATTTTAATGCTATCTTGTTTTGTTCAGCACTTTGAGTTGCCTTGTGTATGAATTGTGCTATACAAATAAACTTGCCTTGCCTTGCCTACTGTACTTCAGACCTTGTATATTTTTTAAGATTTGACCCATTGAAATGCATTATGACTTGGGACTTAACATATTGCCTTGTATTTCTCCTGACTAAAATGATCATGTTTGTTCATCTTAGTTATGGTAAATGTGGTTAAATCTTATAATCTTGACTTGAATTTTCTCCAAAAATCTAATTTCTGCCTATATTCAAGTGTAAACTCCACCTTGTAAAGCTTAATGCATATTTATCAGTCTAAACTCAGTCTTCATAATACCAAACATTTGTTTAACTTTGGTTGAAATAATTGAATACAGCAATTTTTGGTTTTGGTTTTGTTGCCACAAGGAAAGAAAAAAACATGACAAAGGACAGAGTAAAGAGACCAATTGAGTGAAGGAGAGGAGAGAGGAGAGAGAGGAGGAGAGTTAAAATAATTAGCGGGACTAACATGGCGTTACTGGTAGCTGTGGTGGAAACGTCAGCCGAAGAGATAACTCCGCACTTGGCACATTTGAGCGTCATATTGTACAGTGGCACTGTCATCTGACTGCAAAGTCAAATTAACACGCTGTAACATACACAAACAGATACAGATGCACGCACGCAACACGCTCACTCCACTAGGGCTGGGTACGGGACACATCACCAGTGTGCTGTTTTAAAGGGGATCTGTGGAACTTCTCTGAAAGAAGCTCTGCCTCTTCCATGGGGATGTTATGCTTCGTCTGCAATGCTTCACAATTGGCTTTTTCAGGGAACCACTTCCCCAGTTCCGGTTGTCTTAAACAGATGGGTCTGCAATCAATGTCTTATTCATTTTCCAGTATAGCGATATAAATATGTTAATTTACAGAATGTTTCAATCATCTGTGATGTAAGAAGAAGAATTTGCAGATTTAAGACAAATGGAACTAGGCACTGTGGTGACATTATGGCACTCATACCAAGCTACTGGTGAGATATGCGGAGAGCAAGATGTCTCCATATTGACTAAAAGCAGTATTGATAACAATAATACCACACTGTGGCATTCCAGACAAAGCTCTGGTAAGTCATAGTAGCCCCCATGAGAAAACATAATTGTTCTTGGTGATTGAATTGAGAACTGTTGATCCCCTTGATGGTTTATTTATATGAATAAGATTTGATGTTGGGTTAGTTAGTGTTGCTGTGTATAGTCTCAAATATCAATAAAAAAGAGTGTTCCAAGATTGTTCCAGATTGTAGTTGTAGGATTGTAGGGAGATTCCTGTAGATGTAAAAAATAGGTACCCAGTCCTATATGCAAAACACGCACACTCCGAGCGGCACACACACAGTGGGTCACATGGTTCAGTCTCTCTCTCAGGGCAGCGGCCAATCATGTGCTTTGAACACATCTTATGGAGGCGGGGCCTAATGGGGAGATATGTCAATCATAAAGGCTTAATGGTTGAATCAACATCCCAAGAAACAACCTTAAATTACCACTTTTGTATTTACTTTTTTTAAATTATAATTATATCACAATGTTTGCACAGCAGCGCATACAAATAAGAGTCACAGTTGACAGGGAATTATGAGAAAACAACATTTGTAATAAGGATGAGGTTACGGTTATGTAATTATAGTGCATTTATTTCTCTGCAGGGTTTCAGACTATTAAATCTTCCCTCCTTTCCCATAGTAATTTAACAATTAAAATGTCAATACCTAATCTTTACCGAATGAATCCAAATCTGTATATAAATCAAACTAAAACTTCACTCACTGATGAAAGAGGCTGACAAGAGGAAGGTAATGCAGGTTACATTTCTGTCCAAGTTTTCCCTGACTTCAACAGGCATTACTCTGACCGTTTTAAAGCGAAGTGAGTGATGGAAGAAAATGCATATGAGGGAATGCTGGACTGGCAGCTGGTCTGATCTCTCTGAACTCTCTCCTGTGAGATCTCCTTTATATAATCAAATACTTATTATGAAAAGGAATCCGCCAGGTCCATAATAGAAAACATGCTTATTATTATTAGTGCAGGACCAGTTTTTAACAAGCCCTAGAAGAGGTCATTGCTTCCTCCCTAATTCCGTGGTGCCTTTTCTTCAGAGCTTCACTTTGAATAATCATGAGAAATGTCCTTCAACAAGAACACTATGATCTGTGTCCACCTGACTCTTGTTGGGGTGAACTGTTCTCACATATTTGATAACGTGTCCTTTTGTGTCTCAATGTGAATGTTAAGAAGCATTCAATTTTTTTTTTTTTATTAATATAATAATTGCATAGTTCCTATTTTTGGGTCTAAACTTTGAAATATATCGGGGACTTTATCCTCATTCAAAAGGAACGTTTGAGTTTCGATTCAAAAATTACATTGTGAAAAAATTTGCCCATAGACAAATACGATAAGATATTATAAAAAATACTTTATCACAATGTATCTCAACTCGTCTATGACATCATGCTTTGACATATGACTGTATAATTATTTCTATTGATCGTGTGATTGTGGACGTAATTACCATGTTTATCATAATATCAGCGTTGCAGATAAGCGATTTATTATATCCTATTGTCCGCTGACAGCCCAATGGACCTTTACATCATTAAAAGTCAAACGGTAACAAATGATTTTCAAACTGCATCACGCTGGCTGCACTCCCTCGCCGTTATAACTGAATGTATTGATATTGACCCGGCAATAACAAACTCATCTGTTACCGTACGGCCTCTCGCTAAACAACAATTAAAGCTGGAATCGATTTTTGTAGCCGCTGGACGTCAGGATTAAAAATCACATAATGGAAGAAATTCAATTCCGAGTAAAAGGGCAGGGCAGCTGTTAAATGTAGGCTGCGGGCGGTGATATTAAAAGACAATCAACACTTTGGGATTATAACATGGTCTGGTCGGACTTGGCAATCAGAAAGAAAAAGGTGAGTGGTGGTATGCGCGGGAAAAGGTTTGTTTAGATGCGACTCTGGGCGAAAACAAAAAGTCAAAATTCAAAAGCGTTTGGTTTGATGGATTACATGAGATGAACATGCTATTCTGAAATCTATAGGATTAGTTAACCCTAGAACAACTGTGATTGGTTAAAAGCAGAGGCTAACATGGGAAATGATAATGTTTATTTCTGTAATTAATTTTAATATGTGCAACAAATATGATATAGGCTCATTCCATGCAAAGTGACGTACTGTCTGTCAAGACTTTTTTGTCGTAATGTTAAGGCTTACAGTCAATGTTTATGTCTAACAGTCCATTTTCAAATTAATCTATCTTTTTGAAATGTTTTATTTGGGGTTTTTAAAGCTGTGGGCCAATTATCAACATTATAACAAATAAAGGTTTGATATGTCTCATTTTGGGTTGAGTCTGTCATTTACAGTATTCGGCCCCCTTGAACCTTTCAACATTTCGCCACATTTCAGTCTTCAAACATAAAGATATACAATTTCAATTTTTTTTCATGAATCAACAACAAGAGGGACACAATCGTGAAGTGGAACGAAATTTATTGGATCATTTAAACTTTTTTAACAAATAAAAAACTGAAAAGTGGGGCGTGCAATATTATTCGGCCCCTTTACTTTCAGTGCAGCAAACTCACTCCAGAAGTTCAGTGAGGATCTTTGAATGATCCAATGTTGTCCTAAATGACTGATGATGATAAATAGAATGTACCTGTGTGTAATCAAGTCTCTGTATAAATGCACCTGCTCTTTGATAGTCTCAGGGTTCTGTTTAAAGCGCAGAGAGAACCATGAAGACAAAGGAACACACCAGGCAGGTCCGAGATACTGTTGTGGAGAAGTTTAAATCCGGATTTGGATACAAAAAGATTTCCCAAGCTTTAAACGTCTCAAGGAGCACTGTGCAAGCAATTATATTGAAATGGAAGGAGTATCAGACCACTGCAAATCTACCAAGACCCGGCCGTCCCTCCAAACTTTCATCTCAAACAAGGAGAAGACTGATCAGAGATGCAGCCAAGAGGCTCATGATCACTCTGGATGAACTGCAGATAACTACAGCTGAAGTGGGAGAGTCTGTCCATAGGACAACAATCAGTCGTGCACTGCACAAATCTGGCCTTTATGGAAAAGTGGCCATTTCTCAAAGATATCCAATAAAAGTCTTTTAAAGTTTGCCACAAGCCACCTGGGAGACACACCAAACATGTGGAAGAAGGTGCTCTGGTCAGATGAAACCAAAATCAAACTTTTTGGCCACAATGCAAAACGATATGTTTGGCGTAAAAGCAACACAGCTCATCACCCTGAACACGCCATCCCCACCTCAGGTGTAGTTATCTGCAGTTCATCCAGAGTGATCATGGGCCTCTTGTCTGCATCTCTGATCAGTCTGAGTGGATAGCACTCTTGCCTCTCAGCAAGAAGGTCCTGGGTTCAAATCCCGGTTGGACCAGGGCCTTTCTGAGTGGAGTTTGCATGTTCTCCCTGTGTCTGCATAGGTTTCCTCCGGGTGCTCCGGTTTCCCCTACCACTAAAAATATGTACAATAGGTCTGGCATGTGCCTCCTGTACTGGCACCCCCACTCCCAAAAATAACAATTGTAAACCGCTTTGAGACTCCGATGTGCAGTGAAAAGGCGGTATATAAATAAATATTACTTACTTACTTATGATGGAAAAACAATAATAATATATACAATATGAACTACCGTTTAAAATTTTGGGGTCACCCAAGTAGCCCCCGCTGAAAGATCTCAGCTCCTGTGGAATCACCACCTGCAGGAGGATCAGTGAGGGGCTGGTGCTAAGTGTACTGGGTGCAGCTCTGACTGCCACCCCCCCGACCCAGAAATGGATTAAGGGGAAGAAAATGGATGGATGGATGGATGGGTCACCCAAGTATTTTCCATGAAAAGTCACACTTATTCACCACCATAACTTGTGAAATGAATAGAAAATAGAGTCAAGACATTGACAAGGTTAGAAAAAATGATTTGTATTTGAAATAAGATTTGTTTTACATCCAACTTTGCTTTTGTCAAAGCTAGAATAGTCATTTACCACATAAGAAATGTATAGAGTGTATTTTTTTACAGTTAAGACTAGTTTAAAGTTATCTACAGTGCTTTTCCTTCAAAAATAAGGACATTTCAATGTGACCCCAAACTTTTGAACGGTAGTGTAATATGTATTTTACATTGTTTACTGTATTTATACTAATTTATGTTATTACTTATTCAACCTGTTAAGCTGCCTGCATTTGTTTGCTAGTCTTTTTTTTGTTGATAAAATGAAACCTTGAATCCTGGGAATGTGAAAGATCAAAATAAAAACGTATGCCTCCTTTTTTTGTTAAATCAAAGTAAACATTTGCAGATAATTTAAAAATGGTTAAGAAGAAGTCCAATTCTTGCAAATGCACTGCGCCTGGATCTTTAGCTTTAATTAGCTGTAGATAAATATCAGTTACATTTACTTCAGCTGTGAGAGACGAACATTCTCCATAGTTAAGATGTTTGATCGTCCTCTTTGACGCGATAGTTTCCACTTATAATTAGAGTAAATGAGTAATTAGAGGTAGAGTTGGGCAATT